ATACCCCTTCAATACAAAGAAGACATTAAGATACCCATTTGCTGGGGGCTAATGGAGGATTAGCTACAGACCCAGTGTAAAATAAAACACATATCTTGAAATGTGTGATTGACAAGAAACACTGGAAGAAAGAATTCAAGGAGACTTGCAAAGAGTCTGTTCTTGATGTTCTTTGAAGTGGAAACTGTACTTCTGCAAAAGATTAGCTTACCTAGAATGTACAGGATTACTGGGAAAAATAATAGTTCTGCATAATCCAGGAATCCAGGAAGATGGCGCAGGAGTCCACTGTGGTTTAAATTCCATGTAATGCTAGGTTAGTACCCAATCTCACTATTGCTTGTGGGTTGGTAATATTGGACCAGGGACTTTTTTAAGTAATGTGTAATTACCTTCTGAAGCCCCTGATGTCATTCTGAGCAGTTGTACAATAGTATCAAGTTGCTGCAGCAGTAACATGCCTGAAGACAACATGATGGGCACTGAAAAAATTATGTTTGAACATAGTGCCTGCCCACAGAGTAGTCTAGTATTTCTCATGCAGGAATGAGGGAAAAGGAATGAGTAGCTGTTTCTACTGGCCCATTTCTTTCAGTGACCAGAACTAAAACCCAAAGCTCCTGTTGAGTAAGGTCTCATGTCTAACACAAATCATTAAGGATCAAAAACCCTAAAAAATATTACATGAAGTCACTACTTGTAGAGCAAAAAGAAACACTAGACTTTTTAAAGAAGAGCAAACATTTGAAGACTCCTTGAGCCCACAGAAAAACAACAAAAGTGAGTGGTGAATGGCGAGTGGGTATCTTGGCAAAAGGAGAAACACAAGGGCACAACATACTCACACAAAGTTTAACTAAATTCACTGATGACATTATGACAACCCTTTAAATGAGCATTGTATAAGTCTCAGGTTGACTGAACAATCAGAAATAAGTTCACTGTGCACTCTTTGAATGTGGCCAGGTTGTGATATAACCAGGTTATGATGTCTTCTGCCATGACGATTACTTTTGCCTTCAGAGTCAGTCTAATTAAGGATGAACAACATATCATGAATTATTAAATATCTTGTGAGTTTTTTTGTAGAGATACTGAAAATTCTGTGAAGTTTCATTTGTGTAGACGAAGCATGGTAGTAAACCATGCAAAACTGAAAACAGATGCCTTCACTTGATCTTAAAACTCTGTTCCTCCTAAGTACTGTGCAAAGGAAACAAGATATATAAGTCTGAAGATCATTATTTGTACCCACTGTTCATGAAGTTTGCTCTCCTGCATAAACCAGCCACATCCACAAAGAGAAGAGATAATAAAGGAGATGAGAGGGAAAGGTGTCACAATAAGTGAGGAAAGAATGGGAAGTCATGAATCTACTCTTAGAGACACAACCAATACTCTTTATAAATGCTAGACTATTAATCCATTTGTTTATTCAGAAAAGAAATCTTTATGCATTTTGCTACTAGAGTAGTGTGAGAGAAGTAATATGATTATGAATCCAATTTATACTTATCATCACACTAATTTTTCTCAATGACTTCATTATTTGAAATTTTTTGCAAATTTGCAATTTTCTGTTAAATAAAGCCAAAAAATAGAACCTGGGCATCCTGATACAGGGTCCTTTAATGCTGCACAAAACTAGTCAAAGAATTTTCAGGGCTTCATCTCTCTCCTTCTGAATGATCTTCCCACACTAAATTTCTGTAATCATATCACTCTAGTGTTCTGCTTTCTGCAAGCCTTTTAATTTTTTCAGATATCTGGAAAGCATCCAGGGAGACCAACTAAGATAGAAGATATTTCATATACTTCTGTCATCAGTTTCCATTGCTGACCATCATTTAAACAAGTAACAACCAAAACTGATCTTCGATGTGGGAGTAAGATGACAACCCATTATGACCATACAGTAGTAATATACTATATTATATATGCAGTATAATATATCAAAGGCACATACAGTGACATATTCAGTATTTTAATAATCATGCATGGGCACAAATGACACCAGTAACTCTGTCTACAGTGCATCTATCAGAAAAAAAGCTGTTACCATCTTATCTGAAAAAATGTATTGATCCCCCTTTACACTTGACATAATTAAACTATTGACTTAATCTAATTAAGTAATGATGCAAATTCGCATTTCTAAGACAATTTGAGGTATATGTCAATAAGCATTTTATGGTTGACATAACTTTGAACTCAAAAACTACAGTTCAGTTGCTTTTATATTTATTATAATAATAACATTTATTCTATTTCTATAATAATTATTATATATATTTTTATGATGTAACTTTTTGTGCAGATTATTCCTGTGAGGTGAAAGAAATACTACTCAGACTTATTCGTCTCAGTAAGGGTACAATTTTCTGAGTTCCATCTTTACTGATTACGGGGATATGGGAGGCCACTCTAGGACAAGGCATGTTTGGTATTCCTTAGTAGTTCTAATACTGAACCCTGATCTGAGTTGATATAATAAAACCTCACTTAAAATACTCTGAAAATGAAAATGCACACTGTTTTCCTTGCTTTTCTACTCATTTTCTATTGCCATTTACCTGTCACTACTAGCTCTAACTTGAGCCTTTTATATGTTTCTTTAATATCACCATTACCACTGTTAATTCTCCTCAGTTCCTTGATTCAATGTGTATTCCTAGGTCTATTATCTTAGTTACATACTATATGATTGTCCTCTCAACTCCTTATCAATCTAAGACCAATTTTTAAAGGTGTTGAACACTTATAAATGCTCAAGAAGTAGGTGGGAATTTAAATTTTGAATATAGCAAGTGCTGTATCAGTAGCAATTTAAAATAAAAGTTCATGTTCTCAAAGTGTGGCATCCTATTTGAACAGATATTTTCTGGTGTTTCTGGAGAGGCTTTTTTTCCCCTAATGTGTTACAGTTCCAGTCTTCATAATGGACAGAGTATCGCTTTTAGGTCTGAATAATATGTTGGAAAAAATTTTATTAGCTAGTTACACACTCAATAATATGTTTTAATCTTCAAAAGACAGACCACGAGGAAAGCAATAACTTCATATAATGTGAAAGATTTGGAGGATCTGCTGAAGGAGGAACAGAGGAACATGACATTTATAATTGAATAAAAAGGAGCATTTAATAGCCATTAGATGTGCACTGTCCTGTTTGTCATTAAACAGAGCAGAGATCTTGTTACAACTGGTATGCTATTGTGTAATTAAATGTATTGGAAATGCAAAAGCACATGGGAGTTGAATTAAGACTGCCAACAATGCTGTTAATGCTTGGGCGGGAGTGGTCAGCAGAAGGAGTATTGTTGTGAGCATTTCAGTGGTAGAAAGATAAAGACAGATGCTGAGGCTCCAGTCTGCTGTTCCCATCGTTTGGCTCAAGGCAGCTGTGTGCATGGCGAGATTACAAAACCATCAGAGCTCCCATTTTTATAGAGGCTGGAGTGTGACAGCAGCTCATTTTTATGTGTGAGTAAGAAAATATCCACAATGGAAGTACCAACCCACTAATTACTACTGCAAACTGGAAAAAAATTAAAGTATTTCCAAGCCCATTTATCTACCATTAAATATAATACAGTGTGTTAACTGAATTTTTGCACAAAAAAAATGAAGAAGTTCCACAAGTGAAGTTTCTAAAACATGAGAATGTTTTTAACTGTTCCTAAAGGAGAATCTGTCTTTTTGCAGATTTAATACTCCACAGAACAACTCTAAAATATGCTAAAAGGGGATACAAGTATCTTCTCACAGTATCCTATATATTTAATTGCCTAACTGTAATAGCCATGGTAATTATAAAATCCTTAATAAGGACATTGATATGCTAGTAAATGTGCTTTAATAACATACTCATCACACAGCTTTTAATTCTCTATTACTACACTGGCTTTTTCTGAACAGGTTCTCAATCCTTAGTGAGAAACATAAATAAATTCAGCTTTCACATCTTCATGTTCAGCTTAAATGGAATTTAGTACTCTTTTTAAAACTTAAAAACCAATATAAAGCATAGCTTTGGGGCCAACACATCATAACTCATTTTGTTCAAGAGCTAGTCTTCTGTTAGTTTTATTACTGTTATTGGAATCATTAAATTAGCCTTTAAAAACTCCCTGTAGTTTACTAGGATCAATGATGAGAAAAACTAAATCTTTTTACTTCAGATATTTCAACTGAGATATTCAGTATCAAGATGCCTAAATAAACCAAGAATTATTGAGACTCAACTTCAAAACTGCAAACAGGGCACACACTTTATTTATAAAAATACTAAAATGCCTGAGTCTTAATATCTTCCCGAACTTTTAGGAACATACTAGATTATATATTTACAACACTGAATTAATTCTTGTGATACCACAATCATGAATATTTGTTATCTGTTCTAATGAATTATCAAATTCAGTAAGTGAGGGAAAATAAAAACAGAACATGGAGAAACCAGTCAGACTCAATTATTTAATTATATTAAAATTCTAAATAACAAAAGTTTTATGTGCATTTGGCATATTCTGTCCCTCTAGCCCCCTTTACCGTATCATATCCATTGTACATGTATGTTAGGCACTGACACTTGCATAATGGCATTAAAGACCTGGGTCAGTACAGTAGTACTGGTTTCTGTTAATATTTTAGAAAATGACCCTAAATTCATATCTTTATATCTTAGATGTTGTAAGGCATAGTTCACTTCTGCTAAAAAAGGAAAAAGAACATGTTTTAATACTATTTCAGTTAAAATTACAGCAGGAACACACTGCACAAAACACAATACATCTGTGCTGCCAGTCATCAAAACACTTTAGATGGTTGAAATTGTTAAATCTCCTTCAACTGAAAAGAAACCTCAAGTGTCAAGGCTCAGTTTGTTGTCAGCATGTTTCATACTCAGCTGCTACCTTACCATTTTTTATTGGTGCTTAGGCAGAAGTCGCACATCAAGCTGTTAGCACACTCACCAGTTGTTCAGCAAGTTTACTCACCCTTTGACCTTCTTTGCCAGGTGGACCTTGGGGACCCTCCAGCAAACCCTGAAAATACAAACATTAAACAATTATAACATTCAGAGCTATTTTCATCCTCTATTTTTCTATAGAAGTATGGCTAGACCAGAGATCCAGATGGAAAGACAAGGCATTTATTTCTAATAAGAAGAATTGGCTATTCCTAAGAATTCCTTCAATGTTATATTAAGATGCAAGAAAAATCACAAACAATAATTATTTATCACATTCCATCATATAAAGGCCATATCCATTGGAAAAGAAGAGGTAAGTCAGCACTAATTAAGCATAGTAATATTTAACTACAATATTCATTGAAAAGTGATTTATCTTGTTAAGTTAGGATGCCATAAAAAATGACAAAAACAGTTGTTTTAAATGAAAGACAACTTACTCTGCAACTCAAATTCAAATATAGGCACTGAAGGGGGAGGGGAAGGCAGGGGAAGGGAACTAAATATAGCAGAAGGCCTTATGCTCACTGGATCCTAAGAACCAGCCCTGTGCTGCTTCCTCTGCATATCTGTCTCGGCTTTTGAAAACACTTTACTGCCTCTTTTCTCTCTCTCTCTCCTGAACAGGCACTGGAGCTTTGAGTGTTTTGAATACATCCTTGAATTGTGAGCCTTCCTTCCGAACTCAATGTGAGGATCTGCCTTTTTCAGTCACAGATCAAATCACAGAACAGTTCTGATGCTTTGGGGCTTTAATTTTACATCTGATTAATGTACAATATAATCATGAAGCCTTCAAATAACATCTCAGAACAACTTAGAACAGTCATTCTCCCCATTCCCCCTTTACTTCATGAGTCACCTTGGAACACAATTAAAAAAATTACTTTGAGGAAGCAATCTAATTTCCATTATAGCAACAAGAAATGTGAAATCATTTTCAATATAATCAGTGAAGAATATATAACAGTTCTGCATTGTATAATTAAAAAAAAAAAGCTTTGCACGTTATATTGCATATCCTTACAGGGTGTAACAAAATTAAACCTACATTTTGTGTTCATTTAAGAATTTGAAATATTAAAGTTTTAATATCTTTAAAATTACTCAGAATCATGTATTGCTTCAGCATGAGTTATATCTTTGGTCAAATTCAAACACCTTACTTAGAGTCAATTACATATATTGACCCATATTGACCCAATAAGGGTGAATTGAGGCGCCCTGACAATCACGATTTTTTAAAGTACCTGGATTTCTAGAAATGAATTTAACAAATTTGTTTATGATTCCTAATTCCCAATATAAACTTGAGAAGGTAAATAGGCATTCCAAAGCTACTAGCTCATACATCTTCAAATAATGTTTTAAGTTGATTAGAATGTACTGACTCCAATTTTAAAAAGAAGTGGCCACTTCAAGAGCTTTTCCATTTCTAACATTTCTCCAGTTCCAAACACTGAAGCTAAAAGTATATCTCAGACAGTATTTCACTATCAGATGTTTCCCCTATCATTTCAGTTTATAATGTAAACATGATAAGATGTAGGATCTTTTACAAAGCTGATGTACACCATTTCCATCTTCCACCATAAGTTTATGGAACTAAAATAGGCGTGAGAATGTTGTGTCCAACAAATGATATCACAGTAAGTTAATTACAGTGCAAGTTATGTAGCTTATACATACACAAACTCATAAAGCAGCATGTCAGTGAGACCTCTGTAAATCTTCCTTACTTTCTCCTCTAGGTAGTGTGGAACTCACAGTGTTCTGTCTAACTGTTAGCAATATTCTAATTCTGTAAAGAAATTCTGGGAATTCAGGAAGAGGTGGAATTTTGTTTTGTTAATTTTTCATTTAAGTGACAACTTTATGCAGGGGAATGAGATGAAAACCTGCAATGTCCATTTTATGGGGGAGGAAATACTTAGCCTCACATATCTGTACAATAAGGCTCCAAGGGGATAAGAATTACACAAGAATGTAACTGCACAATAGTGATAATTGATAGCCAACATTTTTATCCAAGGAGTACTTTTATTCTTTTTATTCTCTCTACAATATTATTGTCAAGAAAAAGGAACCAGATAAGGAGATTTATCTTCAAGGAAAGGGAGGAGAGCTGTGTACAATTGGTAACTAGGCAGGGAGGACTCCCCTGTACAAGGAGCCACATCCTGATATTGAAACTGAGGTAAAAGTTCACACCAGCTTCAGTGGGATCTTCCGTTTAAAAAGTGATAGGACAACAAGGGCCATGTTAACTAGCACAGTTCTAAAACTGCAGTAACTTGGCCAAAGTAATGACTTAGCAATGCTACCTCTGCTCAGTATTCACTGAAAGAGATCACAGAAAAATAACTGCAGAAGAAACCTGCAAGAGAAATGAAAGAAACCTTCTAGAGTGAATTTATGATGAATAAAACACCTATCATTGAACTCCTATACAACCTGGCAATGAACAGAAATACATGTTTGTGGAAGGCAGACTAAAGTATATAAAGTATACTTAGCTTGTATTCCTATTTAAATTCTGGAGATCTTCCTTTGGAGATCAAAGATCAGATTTGACTCCTCCCAAACATGGATAACACAGTAGGTCAGAGGAGCCCACCACCACAGGTAAAGGGATAGAATATAGACTGAATATACATCTATCTATCTATCTATCTATCTATCTATCTATCTATCTATCTATCGGATATGCTGTGGATTGTGTTCAAAACATTTATGTCAGAAGACAGTCTATTCTACAGCTATAAAGTCCCCAGGTAAACAACAACCAAAGCACTTAAGGTCATAGAACCATACAATGGCTTGGGACCTTTAAAGGTCATCTAGTCCAATCCTCCTGCAATGAGCAGGGACATCTTCAACTAGACCAGGTTTCTCAGAGTCCCAGCCAACCTGGACTTGAATGTTTCTGGGGATTGAGCATCCACCAACTTTCTGGCCAATCTGTTCCAGTGTTTCATCACCCTCACTGTAAAAAACCTCATTATATCTCATCTAAACTGACCCTCCTTCAGTTTAATACCTGCTTCAGTTTTATCCCTTGTCCTAGCTCAACAGATAAAGTCAGATAAAGCTAAAGTCCATCCCCACCTTTCTTATGGGTGCCCTTCAAGTATTGCAAGGCAATTGAAATCATTCACTATGTGTCACTGTCACTCTGATACTTTTGAACTGGCAAGAGCATGGCTATGGTGATGAGCAGAACAATGCCTAGGAACAGCACAAGGCACTGTGAGGTATAAACCAGCCTATCTGGGTGACATCAGGCTGGCAGGAAAATATGATGCATCCTTCAAGGTGACCTAATACACATGGGATTTTCCTGACACTGCCAGGCCACCTTTGAGGCTTAAAGGTGGTAGTCTTCTACTGACTTCATGGTGCAGTGAATTAAAATAACATATAAAATCCAAAAAAGCCTGTTCCTGTCATGGACCAAGCAAGCCCCTTGAAGTAATGTAACTGAAAGAGCTTGAGAAACATGAAGTGAAAATGTCTCAAACATTACTATGTAGCTTAAGGAAAATAAAAGCCAGTAAAATGGAGATGTTCTTAAGTGCAACTGAAATTTAGAAAATCTACCACAATGAGTGAGGGTGGCTAAGAAGAGAGATGATACATGATGCACAAGAGGGTTGTACAAAATCTTGAAAATGAGGAGCAGAAACTTGTGAATCCCATTATAAAAGGTAAACCATAAAGGGAAGTGTTGACAAGGGAAAATATGGTTCTTAGAATATAGAATAGAAAAAGCAACCACACTGTGAAGAATATGCAGACAGATATTCAAAAGAAATATCATCAAAACTTAGTCTAAGTCTTAGTTGAGGGAAACTAGGAAAAGAAAACCAGGTATAAAAATACTGCAATAGAATAAATGAGTTTTTAAAATAATTAGTATTGAAAATATCTGTAGGAATTAAAATTTTATTATTTTAACAGCTAATATTTTTTGCAAGTATCAGGAGACAAAAATCAATAAGAATTATTTAACTTGAGACAGTAGAAGAAAAATATGTTAGGAAGTTACAGAAAAATCAGTGAACAGTTGAACCAGTTAAGCTGTTTTAAATTTCAAAAGCTGTTAATTTAAAGCGTATGAGTGTGGAACTATCAAAAACCACTTACTATAGAAGGGCTAAAATCCTGTCACATGACTCTGCAGGTACAAAAGCATTTTAAAATACCTGATACACCATAATGAGCATCTGCAGAGACATGAATTTAGTAACTGAAAAAGTGCCCAAAATCATACTCTCCAAAAAGTGAAGTTTTTATCATGACCCATGGTGAAACAAAAAATGTTAAAAAAAAAAAAAGAAAAACCCCCAGCTGAAGTGGAATAATGAAGGTACTTAAAGCTGTTATTCATGTTACTTCTCACAGAAGATTATGGTTGATGCCAAGAGAGCAAAATATTAGACAAGTACATGTATTTTTGGGATTCTGAAAGTTGCTTCAAAACATAGCTTATTGTATTTGAAGTAGAAGCAGAAGGGTAGACAGCTGCCTTATGTACTTGTAGGTAGTATTGCTGGAATACATTGTGAGCTGGAACAAATTTCCTTCTCAACACAAATTAAATATAATACAAATGCTAGCAATAATAATGCAGGTCTAATTAAGGCACAAAAATTATTTCATTTCATTTATACATGCTTTGTGTGCTCTATACACAAGCTACTTTCATCCAGTTTTTCCTCACTATGAATTCCAGCAAACACATGACCTCAATTTTTACAGAATAAATGCTACTAGATGGGGAGAAAATGTATGTAATTTAGTGAGATGAGTTAAAGACAGAGACTAAGTCTAAATTAGGTATGCAGAAATACCTTGTCATAATGTAAGAATAGGTCATTTTTTAATTATTTGAATATGCAAGCTTTTATAATGATAAAACTTGCTACTTCAAAAAGACCCAGCTATAAAATATATGATTTTGCCAAGCAATTTCAAAATATTTTGTTGATAAACAGAAAGGTATAATTCCACTGAAACAACATCACTACTGAAACATTTTTAAAAGCAAACTGGCAGGCAGTTCCCATCGCA